TAAAATAGAGCTACATACATATTATATAATTATTTGTAATAATATAATAATAAATAATATAAATAATTATTATAAATAATTATTATATGTATCTTTTTATATCAATATCTTTTTTATATTATTTTATATTTTTAAAATATTAATCAAATTCATTATAAATCAACTTTGTTAAACAAGGATAAAAATATTAACCTAATTATTTTGTAACTGCTTTTAAAATAAAAATAAAGCGAAAATTAGAAGATTCGGCAGCTATGCAGTTCGACAAAAAACGGGTTATAGGAAAAAGTTTTCCGATCAAAAAAATCATTTTACTTTCAGACCTTTTAATACTTTAATGTTTTTTTAGCATTACAGAGAGCAGAAAATATTGCTAGACAAGCTGATGTAGTTGCTGCTCTGTCACTAGAAGTATTGAAAGGAACTACAAGAGCATTTGATGGAGGTAGGATTTATTCAAGTCTATTTACGTACCTACTACCTTATAGCAGAGTGTCTGCAGCCTCAAAAATCTCTTTTAGTGAATCTATTAATTATCACTTCGTTTCCAAGATTAATTCCCATTCCTCAATATTTGAATCGTTGAAGAAATTGTGTCTTAAAAATTAGTTCAAAAATTCTTGAAAAATCATCGAAATTGGAATAAAGGTCACAAAAATTTTCGTGAACAAAAGACACCGTCTGTACTCACCATACTCAGAATAACTTTTCATTTGTGATCAGAATTTTTTTACTGTGATGCACTCCTTATTCCTTTATGCCCGAATGTTTCTTAACCAGCGATCTGCTATTGCATAAATGTTTACATAAAGTCGAGGTTATCCAATACTATGTACCGCTAAAATGTTACAAGAAAAATCTTAATTTCAAGATTTCTTTTGTTCCAGTTCAGAGTTCCAATTTAAATGCAAGCCCTCTAGCAGCTCTTTAGAATAATATATAATAATAATAAAGATATATATTTTTCTAAAGAGCTGCTATAATAATAATAATAATATAATTATCATTTAATGTATATTAAATATCATATAATGTATAATAATTATAGATAATATGGAAATGCTGATAAATTAGGACATCTTTATTGTGTATTCTTGATTAATGCCATAGTTTGATCTTTTGAACATATTTGTTCAGCATTTGAAACTTAATGGCTTACATTAGGTTTACTTGAACACATTTTTTATGAATAATTAAAATTTAGAGCCGCGATGGCTCAGGGGGTAGAGCGTTCGCCTTCCAATGAGGCGAACCGGGTTCGATTCCCAGTCGATACGAATTTCGCATCCGTCTTGCACTGACCACAGTGCTGGCTTGAAATATCCTCAGTGGTAGACGGATCATGGGTTAAAGTCCCCTTGATGTCAGACTAACCGTGGGATGTTCTCGTAGTCTTCGCAAATGCGGGTTAGTTCCATCAAAAAGTACTCCACGAAGGCAAATTTCTCTCAATACTCTATCCAGTAGTTCCCTTGTCTCCTGGATTGGGTTTAAAATTACAAGGCTACGGAGTTGAACATTAGCAGTCGTAAACCCATAATTGGGTCGGCTGTTCAACGACGGTTATAAGAAACAAAATTTAAAAAAAAATAATAATAAAATAAAAAATTTAAATAGCCAATGTTGGTGAAAAGAAATTATCCATTAAACTTTTCTCCTTTTGTATAAAGTCTTCTTATCTTAAGCAAGTTGTCATTTTGATTCCCGATAATAACGAGATAATTTTTCTATATAAGTAAGGAAACGATTGAAACTTTCATTGCAATTAGAGATTTGAGTGTTTTACCAAGTCGAAATTGTGATTGCAATATTCCTACGTCACACTTAACGAAAGTAAGTTAGTAAAATCGTATTTAAAAAAAATCATCTTTCTGACAGTCGTGGCGACGAACCACAGATGATTTGTTGGCGATTAACGTGTTCGGCATGCCTGATAAACGGCAATGGACCCCACACCCATCGCACTAAGAAGAAAAAAAAATTTGTCCGGAAAATGTTTCAATAAAATGATACATTACAAAGATAATACTTAATTTATGCAATAACGGAAATAAATTACTATTTTGTCATTGAACTCATTTAAAACGTGGTAATCTTATCACTTTCTTGCCAATCAAAAGATTAAAAGTGATGAGGCTGACCTTCGTATATCTGTAACCGAACGAGGAAAGAATTAAAAATAAATTTTTTTATGCTCGCATCTATTTTTGGAAACTTTTTCTATAAATATATTACTTCCGACTTATGATTATTATTATTTATTTAGCGGCTATTTTTTTCCGGAGGTGAAAAACAATGATTAATATGATTACTTTCATTTTTAAACCGGTGTTTTCGGAGGTCAATGATTAATGAATAATTGCAAATATAGATTCCAATTATTTGCGCTCATTTAACTAAAACGGAATAGATAAAAGAAAAAAAATACTTTTTTTTACCTTCACTTTTTCAGATATATATCAAAAGTTCTCATATTTCTAAGAATAAATACAAAAAAAAATTAAGAAATTTTAAAGCGTATTTATGTGTTGAAAACGTTTAATAAAATTTAAGGACTATTATTATTATAACACTCTTATTATTTATGTAACTTTTTTCAAAAAAAAATATGGAGATCCATCAGAAATACACAATGTCCTTTTAAAAGATAGGAAATGGTCGAAGAGTTAGGCTCTACAACTTTTTGGGTGAAAAACGAATTTTTTTTTGACTAATTGTAAGAAAGCGAAGTTTGAGATAATGTGGTAACCTATTTGATTCTCTTTCGTTACAATTTAAAAGCTGCTACTCTAACTTTTTTAATACTCTAGATCAGGGGTTTCCACCTTACATGAGGCCGCGGGCCACAATTAAAAGCACAAATCAAATGGCGGGCCACAACTTTATCAAAATTTCATGAAGGACTTTCTTATGTCTGAAAGAACATTAAATATTACTGTCAGATTTTTAATAAGTTGTACAAAACAAAATTACTGAATTACAAATTAAAATAAGAAGTAGATTTTTAAAAGTATTTAATTGCATATTAAAAAATTCTGGCTACAATAACTTTAATGTGCACCTCCGTATTAAACAATTAATGTGCAACATATATCTTATTNATAATGTGCAAAAGATATCTAATTGTAAAGATATAAAACTTTAAAAAGATTGGTATTGAAACTTATATAGTAGCACACGAAATATTCAATGAGAAAATTGAGATTTGTCTGCTGCAACCACCAGAGAATAGATATTTACATTTAAATTTTACGAATGTGTGTGTAAATATTTTCTTCCAAAATGAGTGAGTGGTTTCGAAAAGTTAAATCGGATAATTTCTTCGAGAAAATTTCTGATACGCACATGCTAAATTATATTCACAAAATACAAAAAAAATGAAATAAAATAGAGCTACATACATGATTATTTTTGTATTTGAATAAATTCCTGGGTGCAAAACCTGAGAAAAAATTTTTTTTGCACCGTTGGTACGCTAAATTTCACAGAAATGAAGAAATTAGGTTTTTATTAACGAGGAAAGTATTTTAAACCCATATTGATTTTTTTACGAAAATTGTCCGCAAAAAAAAATGACAACTAATATATTTTAGTTCGCGGGCCACTAAAAAAGGCTTCGCAGGCCGGATGCGGCCCCCGGGCCGCCAGTTGGAAACCTCGGTGACCCGAGTGAGAATCCCAGGGATGACCGGTCGTCATGAAATCCGCACATGGCTCGCACCAACCATAGTGCAGACGTGAAATATCCTTAGTGGTAGACGAATCATGAGTTAGAGTCCCCCTTGCCCTAAATTTTTAAATAAAATATATATATATATATATTTAGGAATGCTTACCTGTATGTTGTAAATATTGTATAGATTTTTCTATTCAATTTCATTTTATTATTATAACATTTTAATTACTTACTTTTATTATTTAATGCCTGGAAATCAAAATTTTAACGGAGAACTTAAATTAATATTATTTACCTGTAACATCACCATCTAAATCTAAGGAAATGAACGATTTTTTAAAAAAAATATTTTTATTAACCCTTTATTTAATAATTTACTTTTCAAAATTCATTTATTGTCCTTTCTATGTCATATATACTTATCAAAAAAATTCTTGTTTAAACTGCCATCAAATTAATATTTCTATATATTTGTAAATAAAATTGCAACCTCCTTTTTTTGAAATTTTAAATAATTGCCACTGATCAAGCACGTTCCCGGGTTTGAGGTTGGCTGGAATAGTGGCCAGACGCCGATTATACGGGTAAGTTTTTTTTTTAACCTAGGTACGTTTCCGCGTCTGGAAGGAAAGGAAAGAAAGTCCCCTTGCCACCAGGCTAACCATGGGAGGTTTTCCTATCCATGCAACACAAATACGAGTTAGTTTTATCAAAAAGTCTCCAAGATAGCAAATTTCTACCAATACGTAAACAGGAGTTCCCTTGTATTTTGGATTAGGTGTAAAATTACAAAGTTAACTGCGTAGAACATTGATAGTCGTAAACTCAGAATTAGATCTGCTGTTCAACGGCTGTTAAAAAGTAAAATAAAATATTTTAGGTTTAGTTGCTCTATTATTAATTTAAAGAAAGTAAAAGCTAAGCATTCCCGCAAACAGTCCGTTGTGAGCCAGGAGATCATGGAAGATATGGCTCCACAATTTCGTGAAAAACGGCCATGTGGGTAAAAATGTGGTCAGCACTGTTCACAGGCATCCTTAACTTCCCAGGCAGGCTGATACCCATCGAGCTGAAACTGGGTGGACTTCAAGGCGCCACTGGAATCGAAACCCAGTTCTTCACAACGACAGATTAGTGTCTTAACCACTGAGACATCACGGTTTATTTTAAAGAAGGGAACAAATCTTTAAAACTATCCACAGCAATCACAAACTTCATAAAAAATTTAAATAGGTTTTAATATTCCTTACTGAAATACTCTTCTAATTTTTGATTTTTGTATCCTAATGTTGAATATACAACTATCCACAGCAATCACAAACTTCATAAAAATTTAAATAGGTTTTAATATTACTTATTGAAATACTCTATGTTCTAATTTTTGATTTTTGTATCCTAATGTTGAATATACAACTATCCACAGCAATCACAAACTTCATAAAAATTTAAATAGGTTTTAATATTCCTTACTGAAATACTCTATGTTCTAATTTTTGATCTTTGTATCCTAATGATGAATATAAAACTATTCACAACAATCACAAACTTCATAAAATATTTAAATAGGTTTGAATATTCCTCACTGAAATACTCTATGTTCTAATTTTTGATTTTTGTCTTAAAGATATTCAGAAAGTTCGTCCTCATCGTGGTCAATCACAAGTAGCTAAACGATTAAGATCTTTACTTCACTCGGACACACATCCTTCAGAAATGGCCGGTAAGTTTACATTGCTTATTTTATTTATTTCAATTCAACTGTTTCTAAATAGATCTTTCGTTTAATTCAACAACTCAGATAAATAAATAAATCGTAAATTAGTTAATTTAATTAGCAAGCGATGAATATTGATCGTCATTAAGTTTCGGATACTCGTTTGCTTTTCACATTAATCTCATTTTTTACTTTAAATTATTTTATAATTTATTTTATAGAATTATCATTGAATATAGGATGCCCAAATTTAACTTTTGTAAGTCTTCCTTGATTATAGTAAATCGATCATATTTAAGAAAATTATAAAATGTGTTAACTAAGAAAGGTGAAAACAATTTGTTAACAGAAATAGTATCTTTTCACAAATTGACACTTGTTTTCCCATTTAATTATTATTGATTAACATCAACATGATTAACATTCGTGATGATTAACATTTCAACATTCTAATCGCTAATAAACTACAAAACAAATAATCTTTGTATGAAATTCATTTCTTTAATTCTTCAAACAACTTTGTTACCTTTTTTTTAAACGAAAAAAAAAAGTTATGCAGGATGTTTTATAATGACCACCCTTAATGTATATTTTTAACAATAAGTTGGAAATTAATATTCAATATTTACGAAAAAATAATAAAAAAAAGATTAAAAACTAGTTAGGAAGATGGAACTGAAAATATCAAAACTTGTTTGATTGTTAGAAGAAATAATAAGAAGTCGAACAGTTCCAAGTTTTATCAGACAATTAAATTGGTTTCAAAATATTTCATTCTACCTGTCTCTATTGGAATTTAACAGATTTCAATCATTTTAGTTTTTACCTTACTTAAATATTTATTGACGACTCCTAATTTTTTTAATTCTATTTTTGTTTCGAAAGATTTCGAAGATTTTGTAAGAATTTCTAGAAATGCACATTAGGAGTGGTGCTTGTAGAACACCTTGTGTCTCACGATTGGGGACACAAGCAATAGGGAATATGCCATATAATAATAATAATCCAATATCAGTTTATTTGTGAAATTTAAATAAAAGGGATTAAAAGCATAGTTAGAATTTTCCCTCCCCGTCTCCACCCCTTCGACAGGGCCTCTAAAGCACTCACACATATAAATAGTTTACCAACAACTGTAAGTTAACTATGCTAGAAAAATAAAATATGAACAAAAAGTTAAACAAAATGAATAAAATATAAATAAAAAGTTGAAAAAATGAGTAAAATATACAGTCTGGCCAAATTATTAAACGCACTCTAAGATTCTATGTAAAATCATAATTATCAGGTTATACTATACAGCTTTATTGTTTTTACACGACTGAAACCGGTTTGCACTTGTTTACATTCGTATATCAATTGGTTAAATTAGACGATATTTAATATAAATTCGACGATTGGATAAATTAGACTATATATTATGTAAATATAGAATATTTATTATATCAGGTATTATATTAGTATATTATAATAATTATACCAAATTATTTGACTCACTGTAGTTTTTTAATAATTACATACTCTGCACGAGTTTATATGCTACCCTTTTATATTTAAACATACATGTAATGGGTTTTTATGCAAGAGATTTTTTATATACTTCCTGTTTGTATTTGTTTTTAAGGTTACAATGTTAATCAATTCATATACGAACGTAAACAAGTGAAAACCGGTTTCAACCGCGTAAAAACAATAAAGTTGTATAGTATCACCTGATAATTAAGATTTAAGATAGAATCTTATAGTGCGTTTAATATTTTTGTAAATAAAAAGTATAACTACTAACATTATTTTTTAGAGAATTCATCTTAATAAGATAAAAAATAAAAAGTTCAAGCACTATCATTATATATATTTTTAAATATATAATAATTACAAGTTTATTTTATATTTTGTTAGAGAGTCACAGATTTTGCAACAAAGTTCAGGATGCTTACACGCTGAGATGTTGCCCACAAGTCCATGGCATTGTTCATGACACATTGGAGTTTGTAAGAGACATCATCACTACTGAAATGAATAGCGCCACAGATAATCCCGTATCCTTTCGTTAAATAATAAATTAATATTTCAGAATATTTTATTCATTCAAATGTGTTGTATGGAATTTAATTTTCAAATTTTATTTGTTAGGACTGTAACTTTTTTGTAGCAGATGGGACACCATTTCAACTTTTATGTATTTTTTTCTTACGCTCTAATTACAAGCAAAACTATAATTTGGTATTTTTTTTAACTATATTAAACAGTTTAATAATTACTAAAAAGCTGTTAGATTATCGGAATTATTTTTATCCAAAATCCAAAAAACCAGTTTGAAATTTTTTTTCCCATTCATATTCAAAAATGTATCAATTATTAATTTTGTAAACGTTGTAATTTTGTACGTAATTTTGTACATTAATTTTGCACGTAAGTAATTTCATTGGTGGTTGACTGTTCCTCTTATATCTAAATGACTGCAAATTAGAGCATATTTTAAAAATCATTGTTTGGAAGTGAGCCGTGTATGGAAAATTTTACCTTTAATGCAGAAAAAAAAAGATATTTCATGCTTTATTTCATAACCATAATTTATTAAAATGCTAAAGATAATATTTCTCTCTTCTTTTGACCTAAATTAATACAAAATAAAGAAAAAACTATGTTTAATGAAAATACTGCGTAAAAGGGTTTATAAAAGGATTCCTTCACGGGGAAACAATCATTCATGAATTGCCATGCCAGTTTTAACAACACCACTTTATTAACCCCTTCCTTCTCGCTCCCGTGAAATTGACGGGGTGAGGTTTCGCCCTCTATTTCTCACTCCCGGGAAATTTCCGGGCTGGAGTGTTTAGTAGTAACGCTCCAATAAGAATAAAATATTTTTAATGCAATTATAGATAGTTAGCTTATTTTAAACTAGATGTCAGTAGTAATCAAATGTCTGTCAGTACTAATCTTTTATGACCGTTTTCTTGAAAATTAACCGATCGTTAAGGGGTTAAGACAAACACATGGAGAACTAAACTACATAATACATGAAATAAGCATTTACTTAACACATTTCATTTTGAGAACAATTTCAAACAGAAACAGGGTAAAATATTTTTTTTGTTTAAAAAGTTGATACAATAACTTTCATGCAATCCTGTTAAAGTGCTGGCAAAATGTTTTCTTTTTTAGAAAAAGATGGTTAGATAAATATTTTTAAGAGAATATAGTCCCTTTTGTTCTTAACTATATTCTAGCTTGTGTTCGTAGAAAGAGAAGAAATCATTTCTGGTGGGAACTTCCACGGTGAATACCCTGCAAAGGTATTATCTTATTTTATAAATCTTTTTCTTTCCTTTAATGTTGATATACTTACTTGTTTAAAAATACTAAAAATGTCAAACTAATTTTTCCTTTAGGCTTTGGATTACCTTGCCATTGCAGTTCATGAATTAGGTAGCATGAGTGAAAGAAGATTAGAGAGACTAATAAATCCAGGTTTGGTTCTTTATAAGAAATTATATACCTTACAATTTAAGTTCTATTCGTCCGATTTCGCTCAAATTTTGTATTTTGTCAAGTGAAGCTATATTCCTTAAAATAATGTAAAGAACTATATACCTTACAATTCAAAAGTTTTTAAATAAAATAGCGAAAAATAACAAATCTTTACTAAAAGTTATTTTTTTGTATCCCTCTCTAGACTCCAAGAAATTTGTTATTCTCTCGTCTTTAAGAAATTTGTTATTAATTATTATGTTTAAGAAGTACGCTATACATTGACAATTATAAAGGTTTTAAATCAAAAAGAGCAATTATTAGACTAGTTTTACTGATAAACTTAAAAATAATATATATTTAAGATTTTATCTATAATTAGTCTAGCAATAAAAATATTTATTCCACATATAGTTGTCAATATTATTTTAAATTAAATGGTCGAATGGATTTTAGTTTAAAATATTAATTTCAACTCTCCTATTATAATTATATCTGAGAAATAATAATTCTTAGCTGTAAGGAATCGTTTTGATATTACAGCAATAATTTTATATATTATTTTAGTAAAAAAAAAAAGGTTAATGACTAATACAATAATGATAAATTACTCATCGATCGATATCATTTAATAATGTTTGAACAATAAAATAACGAGGATTATGTAAGGTTATTAAATTCACTAACTACTTTATGTAACTCGTTAATTGCCGTGAAACTTTACGTGAATACATTTTTGTTACTTACCTTTGTTTTCATTTCAACAGCCCTCAGTGGTCTACCTGCCTTTCTTGTCAAAGATGGTGGATTAAATTCAGGATTCATGATTCCACATTGTACAGCTGCGGCTTTAGGTAAATTATGAATAGTTTTTTATAGTCATTTATAGCAATAACTATTAAAATATAACTGTTTAATGTATAATTGCGTATGAACATTTGTTTTGTTTACAGAAAAAAAAATACATATTCTGGATTTTCTTTTTTTTCATACAAATCCTTTAAACATATATATTAGTTGTGGTTGTCACCCTTTTATTTATCTCAATGCACAGTTCTGAAATGTATAATCTCTGCAATAACTAAAAAACCATCTTTTCTTTTTTAACTAACAGTTACATTTTTTAAAATAGTTTCAGAGAACAAAGTTCTTTGCCATCCCGCATCAGTTGATTCTTTGCCAACTAGTGCGGGAACTGAAGACCACGTCTCAATGGGAGGATTTGCAGCCAGAAAATCACTAATGGTGGTTGAGAACGTTGAAAGAGTAATTGCTATCGAATTATTTGCTGCTTGTCAAGCTATAGAATTTTTAAGACCTCTGAAGACAACAGCTCCCCTAGAAGCTATTTATGAAATCGTCAGAACAGTTGTAAAGTAAGTAAAATTTAACCAATATTTTAAAAGTTAAAATCCTCTAATAACCTAGCATTTTTCTCCTTTTTTACGTTTGGCACATTTTTTTCGATTTTTTTCCTTGTAAGGAAACACTTGTTACTAATTTAAGGGGCGTTATCCTCATAAACCTTTATATATTTTATGTATAGAATTAACTTCTTGTCATGTGAACACGGCGTTTATAATAAAAAATTAGTAAGATAGACTCAAGGTAAGGGTACTTGCAACTCAAGAAAAAGATCAGTGATACAAATACACTAGACTTATGGTCTCAGCACCAGCTGTTTGCTTATAAACAAGATGGTATGCTTATATGTGGGATGTTGTGGGGATGTTGCTGGCTAAGTTTGAGCTAAGTTTCTCCACATAAATTACAATGTTGAACCACTGGAAGTTAATCAAATACGACGTCGTATCGCTCATCGAATTCGCTAAAATATAATGCTTTCTTGCAAATCTTTATTTGCGAAAGAATATAGAATGTGTCACTTAAAAGAATTCATATTTGATGGACTATGCTGGAACGGAAAGAACAGTTGCTAACATAAACAAATGTCGCGTTTCATCACCCAAACAGGATCGATACACACGCGATGTCACTTGCTGGTCTTATTTGCATGATAATTTTGAAACGAATAAAATAATTGAGCTTCTAGCTCTTATTTCGTTGAAGAAAAATAACAACGAAAGGCACTTTTCAAACTTGAAAATATTGTCACATATGGGATTGCAATATTTGTGACCAATCTTAGAAAGTATACTTTTAACCCATAATTGTTTTCCCTTCAGGCCTTCTTTCAATCAAAAATTTGATATTAAAGGTGCTGAATAAGGAACAATTATGTTAAATCATGAAATACTACTAGTTTTCAACAATTAAGAAATGACATATAAGACACTTTTAAAATCCTTTTGAAATGAAGAACGGTAGTTGTTTTGGTTAGTAGCTTAAAATTTTTAAAAATAGTTGTAATTTCCTTATAGAATTCCTTATGGAATATCTCACTTATAGAATATCTTACTTATAGAATATTATGATGAACATACTTTTCGTTTTGATTTTTCCAAACTAATCAAATAATTAAAGATTTTATTTAATTTATTTGAATTTAGCTTTGGTAAGATCCAGCACACACACACACACATCATATAATATTCATTCCTAACTTTTGTGTGAATTCATACTTTGTCACGTGTGCTTAAACTTCTCCCTATTCTTGGTAGTTCCCTTAATATTGTAAGTCAAAATTACAATCTAGTCGCATGTTGCTTTATTACTTATTAAAATGTCATATTATCGAAATTCAATTCATGCTAAGCAAGGAAAACTGGTGAGATTTGTTAGGGGAACAAAGCTGGCAACCAAACAAGGCGGGTTTGTAAGAACTTTGGCCAAGGTAAGAACGATCAAGTAGGTCGACAAGGGTGGCTATAGTTCTGATGTGATTCTACAACTTTGAATAAAACATCTGGCTTGTTTCACTTACTGGCATATTTGTTTTGGAGGAAATATTTGCAATAAAATATATTTTCTGGTTTCAGGCCTTTGGATAAAGATCGTTTCATGGCTCCGGACATCGATGCAGTGACTGAACTTCTCCGCGACGAAAAGATCTGGAATGCAGTGAAACCACACATGGATCGCTATTTCATGGAACAAGGTGTTGAAACCAGGCCCTCTTCACCCACAACAAGCAGTACACACAGTAGTCAGAGTATCTATGCTTACAAAAAACGTCGCCATACCAGCAATGGCTCCAATGGCTACTCTGAAAGTTACCTTGTCACATATGATGGTGAGGAAGAATTGAATCACAAAATGCCAATGAAAAGCTTAAGACCATTGTATGCGGTGGAAGAATGAAACACTAAAAAGAATATGCCGATTAAAAAAATATCCGGACTAATACGTTTTAACGTATAAGGATATATAAATTATGATTTTATATTGAGAGAGTTTCAATGATTCTAAATATATTGTTATACTCAAATTAAAAGCAAAGTTAAAAAAACATTTATTAAAAAATTGTGATTGACATAAACTTTAAATTCTTCATATTAAAACAAGAAACATCAAGAAAATAAGTGGCGTGTAGTATTTACTTTATGAATATTAAAAGGGGTTAATTATTTTATAGGGACTACTCTATTATAACAGCCTTTCATCTAGCAATAAATATTTTTTTTTAAATTCTATTCTGTTAGCATATTTTAAAACACTATGTTTAAAGTTTTTAGAATGATTTTAGTATGTTTCGAAATTTTATATTTCTTTCAGTACATTTTTTACCCACGCAAAGTTTGAATTGGCCAAAATGATCGGAAGAAGATAAAAACTTATTTCTTTTTTAAATATCACTAATTTTGAAAATATTCTTATTCCATGTGATACCAAAAAAAAAAAAAACTTTTATAAATATATTTTTTTTAAAAACATTCAGTTCCTATTCTATTTAAGATTTAGAAGCGAAGGTGCAGTATAAGTATATAAGCAATAAAATGCTACACTATTAAACTAGAAAAGCTAAAAAATAAACAAAAAAAGGATTTAACCACTTATAAATAATTAAATGTTATTATAAAAATCGCATTTCTTACAATAACATAAGCAAAAATATTCATACCGTAGTTAACATTTCGAACACGTACCATAACTACATTTTAAAAAAAGTACCATATTTTGAATAGCTAGTGTTAAGCATCGTCAAATGGGATTTGTTTCATAACACATTAACTGTAGGTGTTTTATTAAAACTAAGTTCGTAAATAAAATGTGTTCATCATCTATACATCAATTCATTATGTAATTTATACACATTTCATTTGCGTTCAACGAGACAATGCTGCGTTCAACGCTGCTTTTATAAAATTATACGCGAGATGATATGTAACGTCCAAAAAATGTTTTGAGCATTTTTTTCCCTATAACATATTTTTCGTATGTTGTTTGTATTAGTTATCGGGATTTACTATGTAAATTCCTATAACTCTATTGAAACACTTTTTCTTGATAAAAATATTTTCAAGATAAAAAAAAAAATCCAATAAAAAAAATTCTAATATGAAACATTTTTCATATAGACATATTTTTTAAACTAAACATGTATGTTACATTTGTTTAGATTATATAATCACGAATATTGAATATTTTAAACGTAAATAATTCAAATGTATAAACACTTTCATGCAAATTATATGTAATTTTTAAGTATACACTATTGATGTATAATGCTTTTATTCAAAAATAAAATTTTATTTTGTCTACTGGTTAGTCTTTATTGTTATTTCTCTTTACTATGCGTGTTTATTTTAATGATTTTGTTTATTCTAAGTATTTAAAAGTACTCTGTAAATTCTTAGGACTAGTCTTAAAAAATTTTTGAAGTAAAAATATATTGATTAAAAAGTTATTTATATAAACTAAATCAGCTTTAAGGGATTTTGTTAAACAATTTTAAAGGAGTATTACTAAGGAAAGTTGATCAAATTATCTATCTAAGTCTAAAAATTCTAATAGTGAAATGAATTCTATTGAAAAATATGAATATTTGATTGATAGCTAAAGAAGTTTTCTTTAATATATATATATATATAGAGAGAGAGAGAGAGAGAGAGAGTAAAGAGAGAGAGAACAAAAAAGAATTAAAGAAAAAATAAATTTACAAAGAAAACAAAAAATTAAATGGAGAAACATTTTTTAAAACAATCAAAATTAACAAAATTTAGAGTTCTTTTAAATATTGTATCAATAGCAACATCAAGAGATATTAATGTACATTTGTAAAGTAATCTTCAGTTGTAATATTACTTTTCTTAAGCTTTTGTCATTTCAGCTATTTTCGTTTTTATTTTTATTAAAACAGTTGGTAATAACCGCGACAATTTTATTCAAATTAACTAAATTATTAAAAAATGGAGGTTTTACAACTTAATATGATGTTTCTCAATTATGACTTATTCTATGATATTACCCTATTATACATATTGAATTATTTATGATAAACATACTTAAATACCACTTAGAAGCGAATAGCAGTTTGATGTGAACAGTTACACAGTGAAACAGTTAAATTATGAATGGTATTTATTATTATTTTTCTTTATATTTAATGTAAAATTGTGCTCATTCAACATATATATTTAAAATAATTATTACAGATAAATAATTTAAAATTGCAAAGAAATACTAATATTTAATTTATGCTCTCTTGCTTTAATATTTATTTGGAAAAAAAATATCTAAAGAATTTTCATAGTAAATGTAAGTTAAAGAATATTTATAAAAAAAGAAGTTTTGTGGATGAATTTTCAATGATAACCAATCAAAATGTTTAGGTTTAAATATTAACTCAATAGAAATGGAAACTAAATTTGTGTTAATCGAAAAAATAATTTAGTATTTTTTAATAAAAACAAAACTATTTTTCCAAAATCTAAATACAGACACGAGTATATTAAACTAGCTTTCTAAAATTTTTGATTATAATACTAAATTGATAAAATTTTTCCAGAAAAGGTTCGTTAAAGTACTAAAAAAATACTTCTGATATAACACCCAATTCTGAGGAGGCGACGATTTTGCATGGATGAAAAGAATCTCCGCGCGAAGTAAATTATAACTAGCAATTCAGTAGTGGTTCATTGTGACTTAATGTGATTTAATCGATTGTTTATTTATTTTCAATGATTGAAAGAGGGACTCGAATTTATCAGCTGTTTGTTGGTCCAGAATCACTAAAAATTAAACTTGGGCAACTACAAAATGATTATCAGTTGTCTCCCGGGCCAGCAACCAATGTAAAGGGATGATCTGCTGTTTCGTTTTCGTCTGTGTTTTTGCCTAAAATAGCATTTTATTTTTAAAATTTTGAGAATTATTCTATAAAGTAATTTTTTTTGATTAAATTAACTTAGCTTAGCTTTCTTTGAAAAATATTTAACTATAATAGCGTCCAGTACTTGGATCGGTAAAAATGGTTACGGACTAGTAACACCTTTTAGTTGGTTGGTTTAGTTGCCGGACCAGAGACTAAATTTTCTTAATTTCTACCTCTGATTAAAGGTATGCTTTACTTTTACCCCTCGATCCACACCTGCGTGATGAAGGAGTTCGTTAGCAAGCAAAAGAGCACTTTAAGCATTCAATCAATAACACACAAAACGTTTTTTAAAAAAAAATACCGTCTTAGAGCTTCTCGTTTCCATTAAAACAAAAGTCAGACTATTTTGTAAACAAATAAATGTTCTTAAAAGCACACAGCCAGCCATTAGTAAACTATACCAGTCAGCAAATACTCTTACAAAGAAAAATTTAGGAAAAAAATCGTTAATATCCATTAGCTATGTTCTATTTAATGCATTCATCTAGTGCTACAAGCCAAATACCAATCACTCAAGTCTCAAAAACATATAAAGAAGGTGCAATAGGGCACACCCGTAAGGGACATGTCTAATTCCCTCATGGGGAATTTCGGTATTTAATTCGATAATTCGATTGCCCTTTGCTGATAGGGCTACCGTGCTAAGTTCAGAAGACATCAGCTTGTCATGGAAGAAACACGGTTTAAGATTTTCGTTTTCCTTCTTACCATAGGATATATTTTTTCAGTTTGCAATGGATGTAAGTAAATTTACAGAAAAAATTAATTCGAAATTTATTTTAATGTTCTAGGAAAGTAAGAAACACAGTAAGTAAGTAATTATTAAGTTAATTTATGCATTGGCTAACCGTCCTATAATAGGTAATATAAATTTCTTGCTACTACCACTTTTGCTTTTAAAATTAACAATTAATTAAATATTATTTTTAATTATAAATTGAGGATTGATAATTCAGTGAGCATTTACTATCAAAAAAAAATATCAGGGAAGCAACAGTAAATAAAAGTTTAAGAATTGGTAGAAGAAATCGAAGAGACAAAATGTCTTAGATAATTACTACTGGCTTTAAATGTTTGCAATTTAAATATTTTTGTAGTACACGTGACTAACTGAATTCTTATCGAATTTATTCAAAATTCACGTCGATAAAATTTACGATTACCTCATAAAATTTTATATATATATATATATATATAATCAGGTATAAAATCCATATTATCATTTCGCAATCATTTTGGAAATGCATCATTAGAAATGATAAGCGTTAACAGGTCATTTTATTATACATAAAATTTGTATAGTCAGATCTGAAATATACAATATTATCATTTCCCATTTACCTGAGAAATGCATCGTTGGAAATGATAAGCGTTACCAGGAAGGTATGCAATATGCCAAATAATAATTGATTTTATATTACGCTGCAGTCGATCATGCAATACATAATGTCACTATATTGAAAAGCGTATAAAAAATTGTTAATTATTAACGTTAAGAATTAATCCAATACTTTTAATAGCCACAAATACCCGATTGCATGAAGTTTTCTTTCTTCTTTTATCTTCTAGCATCTACATCGATTTAGTAACATAATAGCAAGATTACAAATCCAATTGTAGCACCCTCATATCATTATTATATTTGGTTTATTTGGATGACGGCTTGTTTCCCGTAATTAAAAATTTATAACAGCGCTATCCGAATTTTATCATGACGGTGTTACAGCGGCGTTAAGATTAATGTGATAGCAACAGATTTAAAAACTCGTTAAGTTTTTAATAAAAGGTTTTTCCAAGACATTTAAAAAGGTAAAACTGCTTTAATATCTTTAAAAAAAATAGTGGGCTATCACTATTTGTTCGTTCTCTCTTTCTCGCTATCGTTCACCAACTCCCGCTAGATCAGTTCTCGGGTCGCTTCAAATACTAGAACACTGTAGCCTAATAATCTTGTTTGCTCGTACGTAACTAAAACTGACTTCCATTTTGATATTACTGGGACAGTAAACTTATACGTCATGAGTTCCAACTTGTACAGCCGTGGTGAAAAAATTTTATTACTGATAGTAAGATTTTTGATAATTTTTAAAGTTTGAAAAAATAAATTGTTTTGCTTATTACGGCAAATTAATTATTTAGACATACTAGGCATCTTAAATCGGTATTTATCGGTTGGGATTATGAAGTAAATACGCCAACACGTAGGAACAATGCAAGATTCTGGTTTACACTGGTCATCGGCTACCAATGATTCACATAGGTGTATACATAAAGTAGAGAGTATATCATATACGGCAATATCGTGATCATTTATCAACAACAATGCAAATCGAATACAATAATACAGCGAATATTTATTGCAACGATAACTATAACTACTATTCATATAACATTTACAGAAACAAATGTCCGTATAGGCATAACTTGAAAAAGTAATCGCCAACGAATAATCCCTATGACCGATAATTACCCTTAAATCTATTTCTCAGGTGGTAATACTTCCAAGTTGAGACGAAAATAGCTTAATTTTTTTTTAAAAAATTCACATTTTTATTATTATTTTATTATTAATTCGTGAATTCTTTCCCCAGAGACGCTACAAGTTGGCGGATTTTTAAATTATTGAATGCATCAGTAATATGCACAATCGATATCAATATTTCTCTTTTGCATAAAAATGTATTGGAATTAGCAAGTAAAAGAACCTAATCTAGAAAAATCTATTACAGTTTTTATTAAAAATATGTGGATCTTCTGAGACCGCCCCATCTCCATGTTTAGTACCCCGTGTGAAATAATGGCAAAACTGGTGTTAATGGGCTTCCTTTCTATGTAACTAAAACTAACCTGCTTCTAAAGAAGCAGTATTAGGAAAGGACATAGTAAGATGGGCAGATTTTTATGTTTTTGCCAATATGTGAGGATGCTCACAGCATGTGGTTCACAAATCACCCTGAGGTCGCTTTTTTTTTTTTTTTTGATTAAGCGCAATAAAGTAACAATTAAACCTTTTGAAGATTCGATTTCAAGGGTAATGATCCTAATATATATCCTAAATAATAAATCCTAACAACTAAATATCCTAAAATACATCTCTGAGACACTGGGGAGCAGATGTCACAAATTTTAATTTAACTTATTAATTATCAGGCCCCCTCTGATTAGACACATTCCAAAATTTAGGGTGTCAGTTGCTGATTCATTTGCTAAAATGTAAAATCTCAATAAATTGGAAAGAGTTCAAATTAGTACATCAAAAATCATTACTGGTTTAAAGCATAGCTGCCCAAGCAAAATTGTTCTATTTGAGTCTGACATTCAACCATTGAGAAGAATCTCTTATCTTAAGACATATTACAATTCGTTTATTAGTTATGGAGATTAGAACTTCAGTCTCTTGGAACAACAGTCATAGATAGTAAAAAAAAAACAGTCCCTCTTCCTAGCCCCTTCAAGAGATACCTTGTAATCTTCTTGGCGAATAGAACATCATTCTTTTAGGTCATATCTTAGCTCAGCTGATTTCTACGGTAGTCAGTGTTGTACTGAGCCCAAAAAAATACCGATAGCCCATAATTTATCAGACAAACGGCCCTTGAAACTATAAGTCATGTACCAACAGATGCAAATATATACAGACGTCAGTAAGAGCGATGAGGACCATTCTGATGGTGTGGTGTCTTCATTAAAACTACATTTACTTACGTTTACAACGTTGTCTTAAATTCCGAAATTCAGAATATTGTTCAGTATTCAGATCAGAGTTGCAGGGATGACACAAGTGACTAAAAATGTAAGAAGTGGTAGCAACTCAATTCATTTTTATTTATTTATTATCTCTTTAAGTTTTTAAATGTATCTTTAACTCTTAACTTACATTTCAAATTATTTATATTCAAAAAGCATTCGATTTATTGAATTTCAATTTGAAAGTAAACTGAAAAAAGAAATGTGCTAAGAAAGTTGCTAATTTGAATTTCTTCTAATAATATCTTTGATTTTATAATTCAGCACTATTTGCATTTTTAGTCACCCGTGGCAACCCTGGAAATTATCGATTTGTAAAAGGCCTAATTAATATCAAGAATAACACTGATCCTGACTTTGTGCACGTACGGATGCCGGCTGTTCAATTAGGAAAATGATCTACAAGCTTTTAAAGAATTTGGGATTCATATTCAGTGGAGACCGTCGGAATAAGTGGTAACGAAATGTTAGAGTCACTGACCAGAGTTGCTTCTTTGGAATCTTCCCAATCTGACAGACTTTCCACTATAAGCGTAGCATCGAGGGCTCATGCCAGAGTTGACCAAAAATGTAATCGATTACATTTTTTGATTACAGTAATCAATTACTTGTAATCATGATTACAATTTTCAAAAATTTTGATTACAGCTGTAATCATGATTACAATATTGATTACAGTAATCAATTACTTGTAATCATGATTCCAAGTAATTGCGATTACAAGTAATCACAACAAAAACGATTACAAGTAATTATGATTACAAGTAATCAAAATATATGATTACATGTAATTTGATTACATGTAATTTGATTACATGTAATTATGATTACATGTAATCTAATTACACGATTACAAGACTATTGTATTCTTATAAATGATTATATTTTACAGTAGATAGTAGAATGTATTTTATAATGATACATTTTGCACGTATTAACATGTACTGCATTTTGTACGTATTTGTATACGTACAAATGAATGTAACTGAAATGTATGTACATATGATTTTATCTAGTGCATATGTTCAGACATTTTAGTATCACACACATGTACATACACTTATATTGTAGGTATAAAATATATGTACGTATGTATATAGATAATAATTACGTATGTATGTGCAAACAATGTAGGCATGTACATTTATACACAATGAATATATGCATTTTATGCAAATATTTGTGTATGTAAAATGTATATCTATGTTCATGTACGCATGTATATACAAGTACTTGTGTTTGTACGAACATACATACATTGTCTGTACAATGTATGTCCCATGCATGTATGTGCAATTTATTTATGAACAGTACAATATATGTATGCATGTACAATATAGGTATATCTGTAGGATGTACAATATATGTATGTATACATGTACATGATATGCATGTCCAGTGTATTTATGTACATGTACATAATATGTTCATGCTCAATGTAAGTATCCAAATATGCATAATACATTTGTGAACTATTGTACGTACATTGGGCGTATTTATATTTCACATATATTCATACATGCATTCGACATGCATAACGTACGTACATACACACATTTGAGATGCATATATTGTACAGATGTATATACATATAGCGTACAGATGTATATACATATAGCGTACAGATGTATATTCATATAATGTACATATGATGAAATGAACATATAATGTTCATATAATGTACATATGTGTGTACATATACAGTACGTATGTGCATAAATATATTGGGCATAATTCTTTCGTACAAATTTTACATGTGTACATGCATGCTATCCCTATCTATGCATATGGTGCAATGTATATATGTACAATGAATGTATCCACACATGTACAATACACGTATGTTCCATGTATGCATATCCATATGTACTATATATGCACGTACAATACATGAATGTATGTACATACATTGTACATGCGTACATACATTACACGTATACATATGTACATTACATTTATGTCTAAATATGTGTACAATGCAATAAATAAAATG